TAACACCCAAAAATGAATAAAATAGTTTTTTTAAAAAGTGTGACATTTGTGACCCTTGAGACCTTCCCCAGGTTTTATGAGTACAGCTCTTCACCAGTAGCCACGTTTTTATTAGTATTCCTGAGTGAATGAGCTGAGTAGATTTTGAGAGACTATAACAATGTTTTACCTGCTTTTTGTTCGATCTGTGAAATTGAAAGCAGCAGCGTCGCGTCTTCGAGGGGACGATGTTCAAGTCTCATCGAGCTGGGCAGCAGCGGTGGACTTAGTTTTTGTCGAGCTGTGCCGTTGAAAGACAACTGACAACAGTAGCGGACTTGAAGTGTGTTGAGCTGTACCGTTGAAAGACAACTGATAACAGCAGTGGACTCAAAGTTTTGTTGAGCTGTGCCGTTGAAAGACAACTGGCAACAGCGGCTGACTTGAAGAGACGATGAAGAGATGTGACGATGTCACGGCCGATCATCGGCCATCGGCTGATGTGATGCTGATCGGCCTTCAGACCTCACCCAAAACCATCATGAGCAAACGCCAATCCCACGGCCACAACAGTTCTTCCTTGAGAAGCAACCCCCAGACGTCTTTCGTCGAGGGATCTGCTTCCCGAAATCGTGGGACTCCTAAAGCTGGCCCTTCGCGTTCACGACGCGCCGCTCAGCCGTCGGCGACAAGTCGCAGCGAAGAAAAGAACCTCCAGCCCCGTCCACTCACAATGGAACAATATGGCCAAGCTATGAACCCCGAATTCGGCACTCATCCTTGGATTCTTGTCCCTCGAAGTACTCTCGGCCCAAAGAAATCCCGCCCGTGAGTGAAATTTGATTCGTGCAAATACTTTTCTGCTCACCAAAACTTAAGCATTCTAAGTTTTATCATGGACTCGTTCGTAATCTGCCTGCAGTCTATGTTGTACTCAATGGAAATCGGGAATTTATGACGAGAATCCCCCGAGAGTTAAGAGCTCTGTCATCTCCGGAAACACCCGACGGAGAACTCTCCCAAACGGCTTGCGTCGACCTCGAAATGCCTCACCTCCTGTTCCTCCCTCGCACCAACGTATTCAGTGGCCCTTTGTTGCAAAGCCTGAAGATGACCGCACGGACGGTGCCAATCGAGCGTAGCAGCACTCATGTTTTCTCGGTTGCTTCCCAATCAATGGTGCCGGTTAAGCATTGGGTCATCATGGCTCGCAAACCTCTCAAGCGATGGCTGTGAATTGAGGGGTTCCTAACTAAATGCCTACGTTGGCTCGATGATCGCGTACGCGACGTTGGTCTCGACGACCATCGTGGTAGCCAGCACCGTCCGCCAGTCTTTTTCGGATACACCCATCGCTATGAATCCGAGCATAACTTGGTGACTGCCGTCCTTAACTCCCGCGACGCGTTTCTTCCCTCTCCTGGCCACAATTTCGTTAAGAATCCTCACCCTCGACGCCACCCTGTCAAAATCTTCCACTCCGAACTCGTGGCGCGATAGCCTCTTGACTGCAACCCTCATTCAACCGCAAATATGGGACGAATTGGAAAGCATTGTCACTCAGATCGTGTCCGCACCAGTTGCACCCGTAGCTGTAAGATTTAGCCTTCAGCCCTAGGTACAGGTAGGAAAATGGTTGCCGGGGAGGGTAGCTGTACCTAGGCCTATCTGCACCTAGCTCTCCAAGCCCTTTTCTATCTAATAGGCAGATAACTAAATAGCATCAATGATGTGATAAATGGGTATAGGATACATATAATTTGATAATAATATATATATAATACTTTTAACTCCTTTTCTTCAGGCCGATGACCCGGATTATAGTTAGGATGGCCTGAATCAATAACAATCCTAATTAGGACAAAATTGATGTACTATGATATAGCCATCAAAAGTACTGATGGCCATCAAAAATGGTTCCACATTAAAAACATTACTCAGATAGGGGCATTGTCACAACCCATAGGATACTAGATAAAGAATAATAATGTATTCTTTTAAACAAGAATTTCACATATGTCACATATGTCACATATGTCACACATATGTCACACGTTATAAATCGTCACATTTGGCTCTAATAGAGGTATGTAAAAGGCTACCTAGGTACAGCTACCCTCCTAGGCAAGCGTTTTCCTAGCTACACCTACTGGTTTTAGGCTATATATTACCACTACGGCTCCCAGTTGGTGGTATTATCGACTTCACAAACAACTCCGCAATACAGAAGGTGTCCCGGGTCGATTGGTTATTCTCCATCATCATCCGTCACAACATCCGGGTTCCTTTGTATTTCTCCATGGCTCTACCAGTGTCAAAAAGCCTGCATCCTTCCCATCAATGCAGATTGTCCATTTTGCGCCGTCGGATGCCGACGTTGAGCGGCTGAGAAGAGAACTTTCTGGTCGAGATGCATACATAGAGTGATTGCTCGTACGGAGCAACATTCACCGCTGGGGTGTTCTCCCCAACCACGATTGCGTCGTCGATGATCTTTCTCGTCATCTTCCTGCAGCCCCAAAGCCGCCCGCCGTTGAGAGAGGCAGTGGCCAAAACAGAGGGGAAAACTGGGATGCCTTTTTTGTCAGGCGACAGGAGGAGAATGCGCTCAAAGAAAAGCTGGAAGAGCATTCACAAAGAGAAGCGCGACTGTGCCAAGAAAAGCGAGCCACGAAGGGTGGAGGGATTGGCCAAGCAGGTGCTCGGATATTTGTCTGGAGTGATGAAGGCGGTGGGTTTTATGTGCAGGAGCAGCGAAACTATAGCTACGCTGTCGAGATATGGAAAACGTTCTCGCCCGAGCAACGCATCTATGATGGATTTTCGAACGAGTGGGATCTTTGTGGAGCAATCAAGTTGGCTGCAGATTCGCCGTCTTTCAACTATTTTGACGACGACGACGACGACGACGACAAAGACTTCCAAGATCTATATAGTCAAGTCATCCACTCAATCGAAGAGGCACGTGTGGTAATTCAACAGCCCACCGACCTTACAAAGGCCACCCAGGACCTTCTCCAAGATGGAAACGGAGTCGAGGAGGACATAAACACATTTTTCGAGCACGCAATTCAGAACGACGAAGATGAAGATAAGACAATCGACGCAAGCCAACTTGATGATATACAAAGTACCCTAGAATATCGTTTTGGATTTCAATCGACCAACGAAGCTTTCACCACCATTTTGGAGGAAGACGATAGCCGCAGAGCTTTGGGGCACTTCCGTTCCACCAAGCCTCTTACGGCTTCTGCGAGAGGCGTTGTTACTTGCTCTGATTAATGCCAAAAGCTTGGCCGATATCCCTGAGAACCTCGTCGACATTTGCCAGTCCGATTCAAGTGCCAAGCTCTGGGAAGATCGGGGTGTGGACATCAAGTTGGTAGAGCGGCCTAATGTCGATGAGCACGAATCCAAAGCATTTATTCTCTCTCTCCGCGTGGATTCGGAGGATCGCCGAAAGGTTCTCCTGTTCAGTGCAGCCAACGTCTTGGACATCCTTCGGCTTCAACTTAGCAACTTGAAGGATATCGTGACACATCTCGCGGAAAGTGGCTCAGAATATCACCTTGTTGTTGAAGGTCCCGATTTCAACTACACTCCCAAGCCTCCTAGCAACATTGGCCTCGGTGTTCGTAATGAGGATTATGTTCCTACATGGCTGGACTATCAGGCCTATGTATCTCATCGAGACCAATTCCTGCGTTCGCCTCGCGGTGTCCTGCCCCTCTACGCTGGCGGGTTGATTGCTCGAATTGCACGGCATGTCATCAATCAACCCACTCTCGCCCTGATGTGCGATTGTATAGAGGTTGAGCATGCTGAAAGCAAGGTTCTGGATCCGGCTGCCAACGTTGCACTGTATTATGGTCAGCTCACACAGGAGGAAGTAGGACTTATCTGTGGTCTCTATTCCATCCGAATGGGTAAGCAGCATATATTTTCGGTCTAACTCTGGCTAAATCTCCTTCAGATCAACTCGATAGCAAAGACACGAGTGGCCATCAGATGAAGCATATCTCCTGGTGGCCTACGATACCTCCATTCTACAACTCTGGAATGCATGTTGGATGGTGGACACCTGACTGTGAAGCTTGGTTCCAAGACGTACTTGCGAAGATGGAAGCTGGACGGGGAGAGCTGCATAGCCAGCTGCAGTGGAAGAACAAGATCCGGTACCACCAAAAGTCGTTGCGCATCTTCAAGTCACAGAACCGTCTAGCCACCGAGTATCTCCGCAGTGTACTGTAAAGTTTCTTTTCATTTTGTAGCTGGACATTTAAAATCGTAAAATCTATTTTTCACTGACTTCTTCCAACCTGGCCGATGACTGGCCGATGACTGGCCGATTGAAATAATTGTCATTTATTTATGACAAATCGGGTGCAGTTTCGGAGCCCATATTGGGACCCTCATTTCTGACAAATGTGGGGCCATTAATTGGGACTTGATTGTTTGAAAATCAGGACCATGATCACGGGCCATGATTTATCACAAATATTGGACTAAATCGGGTCCATTGCTGGCCCACAAATTAGGGTCCCAAAACGATGAGCTGATGTCAGCCTCGTTACGTGTCCGATCCGAGGCCCCGAAAGGCGTCTTGATTTTTGACATATCGGGTCCACTTTTGGACCCCTTCATTTTTCATCAATCAAATGCATTATCAGTGACCGCTATTTGTACCAGTATTTACGCTATATAAATCCTGCTTCGGGGCCCGTTTTTTGGCGGAAACCCCGGTGTGATGTCAGGTGCATATACTCAAGTATATTTGAAATTCCAGGAGGGTAGTCCTCATGCCAGGGTACTAGTATAATAAGAAGTAAAGCATGTCCTGAAATCCACTTATAGTTGATTATATTTTCAGTTTCAATGGTTTGGTTTTCTTGCTAGATTTTCTGTCTCGGCCGAGAGTCGGACGAACGACAAATCACACATACGTCACATCGCGGATACCCGGAATCAGATTCAAATCACATTTTGTTTTTTTCCTCCCACCACTCGCCACAACTTGCCAGCTAAACTCTGAACCCCAATTCTGCCCAACGTTCTGCGGTCTCTGGGTGGCTTCTGACATAGAGCCTCACACGACGCTTCGCGTCCCGCACAAACGTCGCGGGCAGCCACTTGCCGTCTTCTCCTCCCACATCAAGACCCGCATATTTGGATCCCGCTATCTCGAGCATCTCGCCGATGTCGCGCACGTCGGTGTACTGCTTCAGCTGCAGGTACGTCTTGCTCGCCTCGCCGTGGTCCTGCCAGGCCTGGAGCTTCAGCAGCAGCAGCGGGAGGAAGGGCATAAGCGGCAGGTCGCTGCGCTGCTTCTCGCGCACAACGCGCGACTTGGGAACGCTGGGGATGTTCATCACCCCCCGGGAGGAGGCACGTCCACTTTGCAGGACTGGCGGTAGCCCAGCCGATACCAGAGCACCCGATAAGTCGCGGTCGGGTCCCGCGAGGGAATGGTGTAGAAGTTGCTGTCCTGCGCAGCCAGGACGCTCTTTAGCTCGGCTTGGGTGTGCTTGTCCGTCATGCACACTATGTCCACGTCCTTTTCGCTGGAGTTCAGCGGCCACAATCCTCGACAGACCATTAATCGGACGCACGCTCGGAATTCTCGGATTCCCATAGATGGCGCAGGCCATGCCCCCGACGAGGCACGTTTCAACGCCGGCCCGGGAGAATGCGGCCACAGTTGCATTTGCGACGCGCTCGACCTCAGCGCTGGTGGGAATGTACATGTCGGGCAGTGGTGGCCCAGGGTCAAGACAACTTGAACGTGCGGCGCTCCCACCTGTTTTTGGATTTACTCACGCCTGGCGTAGAGCATGCACACACTCTGTTACAACTCTAAACCAGGCCGCAACGCTCCAGATGGGACTCGAATTAGAAGTTGGGCTCAGCCATGAATGCTAGCGCCGCTGGGCTTCGAGCACTTTCAAACTACAATCACGCTCCATACTACTAGTAGTAGTAAGGTACGAGGCAATATTACCTCAAGCTCCTCAGGATTTCATTTGATTCAGGCAAACTGGTCTTCATATCCTCAAACTTGGAGCGGCGAAGGCCATTTCGTTCAAGTACTTAGTCGCCCGAAGCCGGTCACATTGGCGCCGGAGCGGCGCTGACGCACCTTCTGTACCGCTCATATTGGCGTTAGTCTCACTTGGCCCTCCAGAAGCGCGACACACAGCTATAAATGCGCGCCCGTCCACAGCTCTACCTCAGTCGGAGTCCTTCAATGCCCGTGAAACTCAGCGTCGCGCTGCTCTTCTTATCCTTCCTAGCCATCCACTCCGTCGGTGCGTCGCCGTCGCCGTACGCGTCGCCGTTGCGCAAGCCCGGGATCCTCGCAGAGCCCAGAGACGACTGTCTCCCCGAGCTCGGGTCGTGTACCGTGGATGCCGACTGCTGCGCCGGTAATAGACAATTTTTTGGCCGCTTTTTGTCAACTGACATTCAATTCGTATGCCCAGGAAAATGCCTTGAATCGATCCTGGACAAGAGCTTGGTGCGATATACATCTAGCTCGTTCTTGAAACCTTGCAGGAATTAACGGACGCACCTAGATATGTGTTGGGACTTCCGATACGCCGACGTGATGTTGATTGCAACACTCTTGTACTAGTACTGCCGTGGAAACGACGCAGATATACGTATATTTAAACCCTACATGTCGCCGGAGCATATTGACTCCACTCAACTCGAACTACGTCATCGCTATATTAGGACCAGAGTGATCGCCGAACACGCGGTGACATGCCGAGCCGCACTGCATCAACCGAGCCGTCGTGATCCGAAGATCCTCTACTCCCCACGCCACCTGGACGGACCTCGTCATCGGTGAGCACAGTGTGTCGACTGTTGTATGTAAGTGTACCTTGCGTCCACCCCATGATGACGCGCACGAAGGGGTATAAAATGTCGCCACGAGCTTGGCGTTCCCTCCCTTCGGTCTTGTCGCGTCTTGGCCAATTCTTTCCGTGTCACCAATACGCGAGCCGAAATACTCACCCCGCGATAAAGCAATGCCCTCAGAAAAGCCAACCAAGGAGCCGCCGACGGATACCGAGCGCAAGATGGGGATTACCTGGGATGTCCCGTGCGCGTTGCTCGTTCTTCATAACATTCCTCTCACTCAGATTGCCTAACCAGAGTGTTGTTCGGTATCATGTTCATCCTCTCGACGGCGGAGCTGGGCTTCAGCGTTGACACATTCCAGTACAAGCAGAAAACACATACATGGGACTCGTCCACAGAGCGATCGAGGATTGCCTTCCTGATATTCTCGTCGGTGAGGACAATGGCGCTGTCGTCCGGTAAGCCAGCCTCGTCAACTTCACGGATTGTTGTGTTGACGAATGCCGTGCAGTGTACATTGGGTTTCACTTTGCGCAAAAGGTGTTCGGGTCGATGCACCATTCCGTGCGTGTCGGTTTACCTGTTCCTCACCGGACGTTGTGAAATATGCACGCAGATATTTGTGGTTCTATCGACGATATTCTGGATCGTCTCCGGTGTCCTGATCCACACGCTCTTCGGCCTCATCGAATGCGGCGGGGTGGGACGAATCCAAGGCGGCCTAAACGAATGCCACGAGCTGAAGATCATCGAGGTGCTGAGCTGGGTGCTCGCAGGGATGAGCGTCGTCAGCGCCGTGCCAGTTGTCATGCGTGCTCTGGATGAGAGGAAGCACAAGTTGGAGCGCAAACAGCGACTCCAGGGAGGAAAACAGCCATTGGGCCACCAGATTGTGTAATGAAATCTGTATCAATATTAAGCATCCCCTGTACAAGTAATGATTGTTGTGGTCTGAAGTAATCTGTGCTTTGTAATTCTCGTTTAGTTCGCAACACCCGGGAAGCATTAGTACTGATTGTTTTAGCCGCATCCTTAGAAGTCATCCTCGTCGTCTGTTCCTTTTGTGGCATTCTTCCTTTTCCGAGACTTCAAGTTCCCGTTAACGTTCTTCGCCGCACCTAATCTTGAACGCCATCGTGTGCCTTGTCCATCAGAGACCTGAACGCCAGCTCCGAGAAGCATGTCTGCGATTTTGACCCAAGTACTTCGATTAATCTCTCGTCTAAGCGGCTGTTTCAGGGTCAATATCGACACAAATTGGGTACGCACTCGGTGGTGGGCCACTCAACGGGGTCGCTAAGCGTGATGTCGCGCAAGGCCGTGAGGCGGGGGACGATGGAAGACGTGAAGCTAACAAAGAACGTATTCCACACATCTACACCAGCGTTGACGCCGCTTGCTCGCAGCCTATGCAGATATGTAAACGGAGACGGGAAACACGAAAAGGACACGCACATCGCGTTGTAAGGCAGCGTAAAGTTTATCGTTGTCAGACACTCGTGAGGGTGCGCTGAGTTGAAATATCCGACAGTAGCGCTTAAATTCTGGCGCGGAGATTTCAGCCTACTAGTACGGGAAGGACGGAGAATTGAACGCTTACATCCATATCCTGATAGCTAAATACAACAGAAAGCTCGGCGAGATTTGAGCATAGGTCAAGCAGTCCGTTCGCTACCGGGAACAGTACGGCAGGGATGCAGAGGAAGGTTAACCGATGGCCGTGCGTTCTCAAAAAAGTATCGCAGGCGACGTTGGGACCCAGTGTAAGACGGCGCAGAGACGGCAAACTGGGGAAAGGAAGTGAGCGAACGACATGGGCGAGTCATTGGGGAAGTTTACACAATTTGGGACAGCAATGTGAAGAAACTGGGGGCAGCTCCACGGATCGTTAGGTCTTCGAGTTTTGGAAAGGTTGAAAGCATGTTGTCGACCCCCGAATGGTCGAAAGCGAGCTCAGGAGCAGACGTCAAGCTCAGGCTACGCAGCTCACCGAATTCAGCAAGAACTACAGCAACCCCAGTGAGGGGCGTTGAATCAGCGACGAGTTCAACAGATAGCTCGCGAAGGCTTCTCGTAGCAACGGAGGAGAGCGCTACAACCTGAGACCAGCCAACGGCAAGCTCGCCAATCCTCGGAGTCATGTTGTAGTCGCGATAGTCGGAGTGGTAGCCTCGCGATGTCACGAGCAGCTTGACGAGGGACGCTGCCTTGGTGAGTATAACGTCGATGGCACCGTCATATTCGATCCGTGTTACTGTGTGTCGGCGAATCAGATAAACTGAGTTTGCTAATGTGATGTTGCGGATGTATCCTCCATACTGAGGGTTTAAGCGTAGTGTCTTGGCCAGTTGGCACGCCGTGTGACGCCGGTTGATGCTAATGCTCTCATATAAGTGAGGTAATCCGGTGCGCTACACAAGGTTAAGACGCTTATCGAGACATGGGGAAAGGAAGGACGCACCAGGAATACTTTACAAACGAGAAGGAAGTCAATCGGCTTGCGGCGAAAGACCTGGGCATGCTCTAAAGCAAAAGCGAATCGCAACACGCTAGACCAGATGGTTTCCTGAACGGTCACCGGCGTGCCGACCATTGGTACAAAGAAGGGATTGAGAGGGGGCATCGCTTCAAGTTCGTATACGTTTCTCGGAACAATCAGTATAGAAGACAGACGGTTGGCGGGACGTACCGGGAGATGTCCTGCGAGTCATATTGAAGTTTTACACCTTCAGTTTTGAAGAAGGACTCCATCTCCATGACACGTGCATCAAACGTTTCCGACATAAGCAACTTGATAGGCTCTTTAATTTTAACGGTCTTCAGGTGACATGTTTTGAAGTGTGTATAGCAGGGTTTGGCCGAGTGGAATTGCGACACCAGAAGTTTGGTTAGGCGTTCACCCTCGATAATCGGTCTCGAGATCTTGGCGAGCCGGTCGTGGATGTAATCAATGCGTCTAGAGAATAGGGGATAAACGTGCGCAAGGTCAAGGCAGGTCTTCAGCTTGTCAATAAGACTCATTAACGAACTGTACACGACGCACCAGACGTTGCCATCGGGGGATCGCCTGAATGAGTGAATCCATCAACTTGGCTGTGTGTTTGTTCTTCCGCTCGCCGTCGTCGTCTAAGATGAGTTTTCTGGGACTAATATGCGCAAGTCCTTTGCATAGACCGTCGGTGTTATCCGTCCCAAATATGTTGAAGCAAAGGAATAAGTCGGAGATATTGGGCGACCGAAGGAGTATCGTTTGCATTGGCGCCCCGTAACCTCCCTCCACACGCAGTTTCCGGATAAAGGTACCCAGCTGAGCGTTGTTTGTGAGCACAACCGCCAGGGCCTTCGCTTGGGCCTTCGAACGTATGACAACTACGTTGTAGAGGAGCGGGGTGGCCACTCGGAGCCAGGACTTGCATACGAGCAAGCATGCGGAGGTGGACTCGGCAAAGCGCGCGAATGGCGCTGCGCCGGAGGTGGACTGGGTGAAAACGTCGTCGTCGACTCCCAGGGCCGGAGAGAGGATTTCGGAAATGATTTCGTCGGGGAGTGGCGGAAGCATAGCTTGTTGTCCAGGACAGCTTAACCATGAATGCGTCAATCAAGCACTGGCATTCTTTTGGAGGCGCACCTTTGGCAATAAACCTCTCCAATGGGGCTCGGTATGAAACCAGCGTAGGTCTCGGCGAGGAAGTGTGTGGTGGACGTGTAATGAAAAAACGCGACGGGTCACAGTCACAGTCCGACACGTCGGTCGTTCCCATGGTAATCAATCGGCAATCGCAACGTCACGTGAAGCTAGGCAAGTCCCTGATGTTGTTGCGTAGTCTGCCAGTGCTTTAAAGTTTTCAGAACCATATGCGAGCAACTATTATCAATGGTTGTGGCTTTATGTTTGTATACAAACTTCATGTCCACTTGATCGATAGATCGAACAAAAGAAGGACTCGACAGATCTTGCGACAGATAATCATGTTGACTTGTCGACATCATCATCATTGCGGTGTCAAGTACTAGTCAAGTGGATACCGCGGGTGACTGCCGACTTCTGAGTTAGGTTGTGCAATGACATTGTGCACTGGCATTCACAACCAAACTGAAACCCGCACCACTCAATACTCACGGTGGCGTCCTTCATTTGCTGGAACTTGCAGGACCGGCCATAGAAAATTGAGCTTTATTTACACCCGTCTAAGTGACGTGATTCACGGATCGACGTGGCAACGGCAATCTCAGGCCACGCGTTCGATCACCGAGGTGACCCGCGCTCGACGGCCCTTGCCTCCCGCCCACTCCTTCTTCGCTTTACGCCTGGTGCGCTGGTCCTTTTCCTTTTTTTTTTTCTTCTTCCTCTTCATCCTTGACAACATGTCGGTATCGTACAATGTCACCACCACCCCCAGCTCCGGAGCAACCACCTCGCTACCGCTGAGTCAAAAGAGCGTCAGTGAGCTATGGGTGCTCGTCCAGTCGCAGGGTCTGTCTGCCGCGGTGCGTCTCCACTTCTCTCCTCCAGTATTCCCCAGCTCACAGTCGTAGTCTGCCCTCCTCATGCACGGAGTTTTTATCCTTCTCTTCATTCTGGCGCTGTCCTACCTCTTCCGCACTTACCCCGACGGGTATCGCATCCCAGGGCGCACATTCCTCCGCCTTACCGCCATCCTGCTCGCTGTCTTCGCCGTCGTACAAGTCGTCTTGGACGTCTCGCTAGTGATTCTCATCGCAAATGTACTGACGGGCAAAGTGACACGCGGGTCGGCGCCGAGAATGCTAATGTGGACGTATCGTATGCTCTATCTAGCGAGACAGGGCTCGCTGGCCGTCAACAAGTGCGTTAACCAGCCCGTTCCGCTAATCGCTCGACTGACAAGCTGGCTGTAGCTTGATTGCAGACATCCTCTTTCTCTACCGCTGCAAGCGCATATGGGGCACCCACCGTCTCACACCATATATCATCACATTCGTCTCATTCCTCATTATCGGCACAGCGGCAATCGCGGGGGTTACGATCTACTATAAACTCAATATTCGGATTCCATTCGGTGCTGCGCTCGGGACTAACGTCGTCCTACTTGTTTTGACCGCCGGGAGAATCTGGTACAAGGGAAGGAGGGCAGAACCACTGATGGGAAGACGGTTACGGACGAGGTGGAGGGCTGCTGTGGCAATCATGTGCGTACTGCTTAGCATCTCTCGAGTCTCTGCAGGTTTTCTGAGATTGACATTTGTTAGCTTGGAGTCGTCCTTGTTATACGTTGCTGCGAATATGCTTTATATGATTAGTCAGACGCGCAATGTGCCTCCGTTCACAGTGCGTCCTTTTCATCCTTTTCGTGCATCAATCCAACACTGTTTAGGGCGCGCAGAGCATCTGCTGGGGTGCCTTAGCACAACTCGTCGTACGTGTCAGTCATACCTCCGAGATTGAGGCCGCTGAAAATCTTCATGAGACAGAATATTATACCCATGATGATGATTGTCCGCGTTGCTCTCAACCGCAGCGATGAGGAACAGAACCCATCCCAAACACAATTACATCCAGCGGTAGCGATCAATCTACCTTGGAGTCGTCCATCAAGCTTGGAAGCTGGAGAGCTCAAAGTGGGAGAGACGGCCATGAAGCAGAGGGGACCGGGTTAGTATAATCTCGCCCCCTACGTTCGCAATTGGTAGACTCGGAAGGGAGCAACGTGATCAATAAATAACACTTGATTATTAAATATTAAGTTCATTACACAACAAATTCAAGTTTCGACCCTAGAATAGATAGCTCTTAGGCCACGACGAACGGTCGAGTCAACGGCGTCCCATCGCCATCAAGCAGGCAGGGCAATACGCATCAATGTTGGGTACTATATCCATTCAGTCACTTCAAATTGTTTGTTGCGAAATCGGACGCACCATAGCGCTCTGGGAATGTATGACTACCCAAGCATGACTGAGTTTATGTAACCCATCTGGAGACAAAATACGCACTACTGGTTGCAAGTGTTCTTGCACGCTGGCGCAACGCACCAGGCTGGGTGATTGTTGCTGAACTTGCAACGGGAGCTTTCGCACTTGACCTGCATTGAATTGAGTTTTGCGAGAAAGAGCAAGTGCGGGATCCATACCTCGACGTCGGGCTAGAGGAGAGAAACGTTGAGCGCGTACTAGTATATAAACAATGATAGGGACTGACCAAATTAATGGAGTGGCCACAGCGAAGATAGACGTTTCGGACTCTGCAAATAATCGTCAAAGAAATGCAGGAAGCGGAGTAAATCTAGTCACTGGCGCCAACGACACATTCTTCAAGTTGTTGACTAGTAGTGGTTGGTTCGGAAGCAGTGGGTCTGGCTAGCTGTAGTAGTAGAAGACGAAGCTACCCGTCTTATGGCTTCCGAGTCGAAGGCTGCTGGGATGTTGAGAATTGAAGAAAACCGAGTGTCCTTTATAGTCAGAGCCCTCAGGCTCAGGCTGGCCGAGAATAGCCTATCCACCGAGTCACCGAAGACCGGTATGAGGCAGAACGGAACACGGGGTAGGCGCACAGACATCCCCGAGTCGTGTGCTGCTAACTCCTGCAGCTGGCGGCTAAGATACAGGGGAATCAATGAAAAGTGTGGTTGTGTGACTCGGAGTCAGGCGGACTTCTCGGGAGCCTGAGAAATCAATGCTCTCAGTCAAATTGGGGACCCACGAGCATTGCAAGGTATGACCATGTACTTCCCAGCGCCTTCCGTTTAGCATGTCATCCAGCGTTTCAGCAGGGTGTGATTTTGAGGGTCCAGCACTGGGATGCAGGTGAGTCCGGCGTAATGAGTGTTGATTGAATTTACAGCTTACACTGGCAGGTCGTTTGCATGCTGCACTTCCCGTCGCATCACGGACAAGAGTCATATTTAGGACGACGAGCCGTCAACAGTGTGCCGACAACTTGAACAGCTTGAAGGAGGCGTTGATGGTCGACCGAGCGTTGGTAAGACATTTGACGCGATCGTCTGCCAGTGAGGCGAGACAGAAAGAGACGACTCGGATGCACCAGAAGCTATCTGTTTCTGCGGACTGGGAAGTAATTCTGTAGGACATGGAGCCGAACAGTGACGTCGCACCGGATGTCTGTGCTTTGTGACTTTGCTCCTCCAACTCAGCTTGTGACGGCTCAACTGAGTCGGGGGGCCGCGTGTGGGTTTGATGCACTACTTCCTACGACTGCGGCAATCCACCTTGTGCGGGACTGCCCAGCCACCGCCGGGGATAAGGGAGACAAGATGAATAAACGGAGCGGCGGGTGTGCCCGGCAGAATGTGGACGATTGTCGGCGTCCCGCGTTTAGTGGGAGGTCGATATGCACCGGTACTATCGAAGCTCGGTCTTCGAGCTTCAGCGCAGGTCGTGTGATGTAAAGCCGATAGGGCGCGAGTAAATCGTTCTGAATGAGTCGCGGCAAGGCCAAATGCGTTGTGGAACTGGTATGTACAGCAGACGGTGCAGTTGATTGATGTATGCCGAGCGAAGCTGATGCATAGATTGTGCGGCTATGCATTTCGTGCGCGTTCCCCGGAAAGATAGGCGAAGGCCAAGTCCGAATCAAGCGAACTTTGATGTGGCAAGGAGCTGTGTACGTGGGAGGATGACCGTGACAGGAGAATTCGGGTGGCGAGTCTTAGAGTCGAAACTATCCGAGTCGGCGCGCTGCTGCTGAGCCATGCGAGATGGTGGTTGCTATCAAACATGTGCTTGCTGAGTCATGCGACATGCCACGTGAATGGATCAACAATGTCGTCATGCCAGATGATACTTATCATATACTAGCGCTAGCTTTTATTGTACGGACCAGCACTCCGGAGTTTACCATGATTTTGACTCCCAAAAGTTGATTCAAAAAGTACTAAGTAGTTTTTGCACAAAAATATTTTTACAGAACACAAATAGTTTCCGCAAAGGGAAAACTTTAGACATAGTCTGGTTTCCTATTGGTTTCCGATAAAAAAGATTTTTGTGCAAAAGTAGTACTTTTTAAATCAACTTTTGGAAGTAAAAATCATGCTAAACTCCGGAGTGACGTACTACACCTCCAACCCCAGCTGATGTCCCAAAGATATCACCGAATAATATATCTGATATTAATGGTGGATATCAAACTGATGAACCTAGGACATACCATTGGTAGCCATTTCCGTGTCAATTGATTATCAATTGAGATCACAATATAGGTCTTTTGGACATTACTCTGGAAATCAGCTAGAGTATAGTATAGATATACAGTAATTCTCTCCCTATACCTCTCTATATATAGCCAGTTCATTCCATTGATATCACCAGGAACTCTCATATTGCACTGAAAGAAATCCAAAAACAAATGAATTCTAGTAGATAATCGTAACTATTCCTCGTCATTGCCAGGCCCATCTCCAGGTCTCTCCCCGTCTTGCTCTTGCTCGACATCACTCGCATCAGCCGAAACCCTTTTCCGCTTTAGTGCTTTGCGTGGTCCGGTGGGATTGGTAATCTTCGGATTTTCCACCTTCTGCGCAAGTTTGTGTACGCGCTGCAGCCAGCTCGGACTATGGACACCGATATCGGGCTCGATCTCGACTTCCTTCGACAACGCCCCAAACAATTTGACGTCTTCCTCAAAGTTGATCTGAAGGCCGCTGTCGCTTTTCGTCAGTAAAAAGTGCAATAATAAATGTGTTAACGCACAAAACAAGTACTGCGGGGGCTCTCTTTTCTCAGCTCAAAGAGCTTCTTGTCGACCAAGTCCCAGAAGTCTCGCGGGACAGTGCCGGGAATACTAAGTTGTGTCCGCTGAACTGTTATTAGTCGTTGTTGATGCTCAAAAGAAATGAGCGTACAATAAATGCGAGACGCCATATGAGTTTAAGTGTGATCGGGACATCAACAAGTCCCCAACTTGCGAGGAGGTTTGAGGCGATGGTAGCCAAATCAGTCGTCTCAGCTTCAGGCTGTCGAGATACTTCAAGCTACAATGATATCAGGAGGTGTATTCAATGAATGGATAACGCCAAACCTCGGTTTTCAGGAAGCTCCGGGCGACGGAAACCTGATGCCCGACAAGATTGTCGAATGTGCTAAGCACTTTGTGTGTCGCATTGGTTGGCGGCACTCCGGAGACCTTGTTTTGACGCAGTGCATCCTGTTGCAGTAAAGACCGTTGAGCAGTCTTGGCCAACAGCGGAAGGACAACTCACAATAACAACAATTTTGAAGTTTCCCCCATAAAACTTCACATCCGGGTCGAGGAGCAGAGCACGCGCGTGTTTTCGGACTTCAGCCTGAAAGCAGCATTGTCAATTTGGCGACAAGGCGGACGGCCATGACATTTCACCTTCAACTCTGTGGTTTCCTCGAATTCCTGTGTTTTCGTGGCTTCGATTAGCTTGATCACTTGCTTATTCGTGTCAATCGCTTGGTAAAGCGCCAGACTCTCCAGCACTCGGACCTCGTGAGGATCAGTCGTCTGGACGAGGCATTAGAGGAAAGGATTATCAGAGAAAGCGGCCACTGACCGAGCACAATCGCAGGAATTCTTGTTCGCTATCGGTGGAGAGTTTGACGCGCTTAGCCATGCGCTGTGCGAATACCGTCATATCAGGATAACGGAGTCCGAACGTGGAAGGCGGGAGTCGAGGAGAATCCAGCTCGAGAGAAGAAGCCCGCGATCGTTGTGGGCTGGAGGTGAGTGGCATGTCGGAGCTGGGTGGCAATTCTTGAGTTGCAGCAGTCTCTGCATCGAGCTGGGCTTTTCGGGCTCGTTCGAGTAGCGAAGGAGGCATTGGATGGGATGAGTGGTTCGAGACAAAGTGTGTGTGGTGACTCTGTCACACTCGCGCGTCCGTTAATATACGCGTTGCTCAGTGCTTCACGGTGTGACTTTAAGACACATAATGCCACCCAGAGCCAATACGCGAAGGAAGGATGGCTGGGCAATCCCTGACGGTATGTTAGACAAAATCTGCGAGTATCATGCACTTACCGACTTGCAGACCAAAAGCAGCATTTGAAAAACAACACAAATGACGATGGATACATCATTTGCACTCTCTGCGAGCAATTCGGTTACTCAAACTACATCAAGAAGCAAAGTTTGAAGGGGCACCTTGGATCGGAAAAGCACAAGACAGCACATCTTCGGTTTCTTGAGCACGAACGAGAGGCGGCTGAAGTTCAAGCCAAAAGTCGGGCAGCATATGATGCCCCTGGACTTGCCGCCTTTGCTGGTAATCGTTCTGTACAGATCGTGAACAAGCATGCACAAACTATGGTCCCGCCAACGCACCTTGAATTGGTGGACCATGAAATGCGGGACTTCCAACGCCAGGCGGAGTTTTTCGCACAGCAAGAGAGCCAGCAGGCAGCCGAAAACAAAGCACTTCGAATAACGCCAGAGGAGCAAAAGACCATCTTGGAGAACGAGTTTGAACGAATCCTGGCGAAAGCTCTTGAACAAGACGACTCTTCTGAGGACGAAGATGAACTGGACCTTGAGCTTGAGCAGGAG